CTCCTACATTCATGAAGTATGACTGTTGGCATGTCAAGAGTAATTTTTTTGTAAATATTTACTTATTTCTTGCAAAGAGAGAGAGCAGGAGCCACTTGTTCACGCCCCAGATGCCCACAATGTGCAGGTGGGGCCAGGCTGAAGCCAGTCTCCACTGGGTCTCTCACAGGGGGTTAGGAACCCAAGTATTTGGGCCATCATCTGCCTCCCAAGTGCATCAGCAGGACGCTGGACTGGAACAGAGGTGGACTCCATCTCAGGCACTCCAATTCGAGATGCAAGCATCCCAAGTGGTGGCCTGACCGACTGCCCTACACCTCAATGCACACCCCATCAAGGGCAATTGTTAGACTGCATCTGCTGCCCACCATGCTGCTTGGCTGCTGCGCATACGGCCTCTTGCCCTCTCTCAAACATCTTCCCAATACTACCCATCCTCATGGCCTTGATGAAGTCAGCCTCATAAAGCTCCCCAGGTATTTCCAATTCAGAGTGACTCGTCTCTAAAAAAACCACAGCACTACCACCAGGACTCTCCATTTATGTCATCTTAGATCGTCTTTGACAGCCTGATGCTGTAGCCTAGCAGCTAAAGTCCTCGCCTTGTACATGCCAGGATCCCATATGGGCACTGGTTCATATTCCCGTGGCCCTGCTTTCTATCCAGTTCCCTGCTTGTGGCCTGGGAAAGCAGTCGAGAATGGTCCAAAGCCTTGGGACCCTGTACCCATGTGGGAGACCCGGAAGAGGCTCCTGGCTTAGCTCTAGCCATTCCATTGCAGCCACTTGGGGAGTGAATCATCAGATGGAAGATCTTCCTCTCTGTCTCTCTCCTCTCTGTATATCTGATTTTCCAATTTAAAAAAATCTTTAAAAAAAAAAGTGTCCTTGAGAAACTACATTCTATAGTATACATTCTATACTATTTGTGCCTGGCCTTAGTATTTCTTATGTATATTTTTCCTTCCTCTCCCCTAAGTTCACCAGCTTCCTAAAGGCAAGAAAACAACACTTCACCTTCTGCTTTATCCCCTTTATATTTAACTCCAATTGAAGGACTCTCACAGTGAAGTTATAACTGTGAGCTGTGGGATGTCATTTACCATAGACATCCTCAGCCTCTGGGGGTCATGCACCGAGCCCCAGTAGATTTAGCGATCCCAGTCACTAGACAATGCCATTGTCTGACCACAGCCCACACAATCAGGCTGAATTCCTGTGCTGCACCACACACGGAACCAGGCCAATTTTAAGTCAGGGGTTCCAGAAAAGCCAGTCTGATTAAATGTCTGGGTGCATTGTGGCCTTGGAGCATCAGAGTGAGCTGAAAGGAGCTTCTTGGGCCACTCTGGTTCTTTCCATCACGCCTAGACTTTGCTTCCATGGCCACCCACCGATCTGCCTACAGACCTCCCAGATACAAGCTGGCTGAAATGCGATCATGCCAGCCAGTCACCTGTCTTCTCTTTATGCAAGTGCTAATCGGATCCGTTTTCCTCTTCTGCTTATCCCCCAGAAATACAAAGAGCTCTTTCTTTTGCCTTCTCCTCCACCCCAAGGGTACAAAGAAAACTGGACAGCTAATGGTTCTAAGGATACTTTTTTGAGGCGGACCACCTGGTCAAGGTTATAGTTTGGCTCACATAACGATGTAAATATTTGTATGCTTGTTTTCCTTGAAATAATACAGACCCATTCATGTGCATTATACAAAAAAAAAAATAATTCAAACCAAGGACATATATTGAAAAGCAAGCCTCCCTCTCTCATTCACCCCTAGCTCTTACTTTTCCTCCTCAAAAGAAGCAACCGTTACTAGAATATTGTATTCTCTAGGGGCCGGCACCATAGCTTAACAAGTAAAGCCTTCACCTGTAGCATCTTATATGGGCACCGGTTTGTGTCCCAGCTGCTGCACTTCTGATCTAGTTCCCTGCTAATGGCCTGGGAAAGCAGCAGAGGATAGCCTTAGGATGCTGCATCCACATAGGAGAACTGGAAGAAACTCCTGGCTCCCAGTTTTGGACCAACCCAACTTGGGCCAAGAAGGCCATTTGGGGAGTAAACCAGAGGATGAAAGATCTTTCTCTCCGGCTCTCCTACTCTTTCTGTAACTCTGCCTTTCAAATAAAAATAAGTAAACCTTTTTTTAAAAAAAAGAAAATTATGGCTGTAATAAATGTTCTAAGCCCCACTGAAATTTTTTTATTGTCTTGAAAAGCAAAGTGAGAAAGAGGCAAAGGCAGAGGCAGAGAGGGGTGGGGAAGAGAGAGAGAGAAAGAGCCCTCTATAACACGAGGGCTTGGCCAGACAAAAATCAGGAACCTGGAATTTCAGGCTAATTAATCTTCTACATGGGTAGCAGGGGCCCACACATGTAAGTCATCATCTGGTGCCACCCAGCGAGGAATCAGCAGCAAGCTTGAACGGAAGTGCAGTAGCTAGCATTCAAACCAGACACTGTGATACGACATGTGCTGTGATACCTGAAGCAGCAACCTAACTGCTGGGCCGGAATCTCACCGCTGAGTCCATCTCATTTGTTTGTCAAGACAGTGTTTTTTCATTTGCCTTCCTTTGTATGTGTTCACTGATCATCACGGGACATGTTCAGGCCCTGTCATGTGTGTTGGATACCCCTTGGCTCCTGTAACCTTCTCAGCAGCTCTATGAAGCCAGTATGATTATTCCCTCCACTTCTCAGGTGAGCAGCCAGAGCTTGAGAAGAGTGTGAAGTCTGTCCAAGTCCAAAGGCACACACCCGAGCGGATTGCTTGACTACCCTGTTTCATGAAACAGGACCTCCCTGCTGAGCTGCCTTTGAAAGCCTGGGCCCTCCGCAATCACACATCCTTGCTCTCAAAACTGCCTCCATCCCTTAGAGCTCTAGGACCCCACACAAGTTACTCCAACTCCTTCAGCTTCAGTTTATTCACCTGCAAGATGAGCTTCACGAAGAAACTTAGCAGGTGAAATCTGTGGAATAAATTTCACACAAAGAGCCCTAGGGCGGCACCTGAGAAGCATACACCGACTGTCATAGAGCTGGGGAACGAACTGGGGTTTGCTGGTTTTCTGTCTTTTGTCTGCCTTCCATCCAGCTGTACGGGAAAGCAGTTTGGGATGAACCGGAGAGCCACCTGGCTCCATCACACCCGTTTCCTCTGCTCCCCTCCCACAGGCCTGTTCCTCTAGCATTTCTGCTTTCGCCAACACGAACTGCCAAAATCATGGCCTTCACCACTGCCAGATCCCAGCAGCCTCTGCACTGGTTTTGGGACTAGATATTTTTTTTTTCAAATCATGGAAATAGTTCGATTTTTATTTAAAGACTAAGAACCCAGCAACACCCTTTCTACCACCACCAGCTTTTAACTTTTAAAGCAAAAGTCCACATGCCTGACACTTCCATGGCCATGTTCACAACCACAGAACTCTAGACTGTCACACATGCTTTTGCTAAGATCAGCTGGGCTTGCATACATAGAAGCTACTCAAGTACCCATGGAATGGAGACACTTGCTACCCTGGGCTCAAAATTAATCAACCTCTGTCTGCTAAACCGACCACTCGAGTCCACTTCATTGCTTTTTCTTCCTTAACTAAAAGACAAAGGAACCGTGCAGGGCTTTCAGCAGCTTATGAGAAATGCAATTAAAAGGTTGATTTTGGTGCAAAAAGCTGGAAATCCATGCATAGTTTCTAATGCTCTACACATTTTCCACAGACTTTAGAAGGTCCACAGGGAGACTGTGGTAGACATCCAGCAAGCAGATGCGCAGATGAAGGATGTTCGTTGCTGGGGTAAAGGGAGTGGAGTGCAAAGAAAGACTAAAATAATTTCTCCAGGCAATGGCTAATTCCATGACTTGGGCCAAATCACTTCGCATTCCCTCAGTTTTAATTTCCCCCAATGAATGCAAAGGTAAAACCACATTTTTCCTAAGAACTCTCCCTTTTGAGACCTTTCTTGACATGAGACTCAGTTTTGCAATCAATCTATGATCATCTCATCTGGCCTGCCCCTTATCAGGGCAGTAAGTTACACGTCACAGCGCTGCCTTGGGAGATAAGGTTTGGCCCAGATGAATGAGCATGTGACATGCGGCCTTAAAAGATGCAGCCTCCATTTATTACAAAAAACACACTTGTGCCAAACTGTCAAAATAGAATTCACGGCCAAGCAATACAACCCAAGTTCACCCATCATTACGCACAGTTAAATGAGAAAGGAGCAAGCCCATCTTGAAGGCGACAGCTCTTGATTTCCTTCTAAGGTCTTGCCATAAATTTCTCCCATTCAACCACTCTGCTTAAGCATCTGGAATGCAGCTAGCATAAACCTGGGAGCCCAGCAGGGTTTATGAGTTGACCTCCTGTTAAAACATGTGCTTCAGCCTTGTGCTATGCGATTTCTCTGCATTTTTCCCTATGGGAGACTTTGCTTCATAATTCTGACATCATAACAGTTTCCTCCCATCCAAAGTCTTTTGTAATGGCTCAGAGTGAATCAGAACCCTAAGAATGCAGTGGGAGTAAACATTTGGGCGGCCATAGGTATTGTTTTTGTACCACAAAGCCTTGATAGGGAGCTAAAACGCGTTTCTTAAAAGCCAGAAGACGAATCATGCTGATTTCTTAACTGCAGTGTGAAGCCAGTGGCTTTCACAAATGGCATCCTGAATCTGGCTTTTGGCAGTTCACAAATGCTAACTTATGCACTGCTTCTTGCCTTACAGATGTTGAATTCAATCGTTCTCTTCTCTACAAGGCCCAGACTCCAAGACTTTAAAAAAAAATTGTCGTTTTTGAAAACTACACACGCAAACATCATGGAACCTAGAGTATGCCAGTCACAGAATCCACTGAAGACGGGGCCCAGGTCCCTTCTACTGCCTGTAGCTGATTAACCCCACGCCTTATCAAGGTAGGGGTGCGGACTGTGTGTGCAGCTCCGCAGAGAGGCGGAGCAGCCAGACAGTGAGTCACTGCATACTTACATCACTCTTCCTGAACTTCGCCTTCAGACTCTTCATGTTTAGTCCATTCAGTCTTCCAAAGCTCTAGAGGAGATTTTTCAACACCTAAGCAGGAAAAAGAAAGAAGGAATGTAGATCTCCAGATTAATACCAAAAGGACTTCTCCTGGCCATGAGGGTTGGGGAGCTGATTAGGGAGCTGGGGAGCAGGAAAAAAAAAATACTACGTCCAACTCATGATAGACTCCCCTGAACCTTTTGACAAGTTCAACTTCACATAACATTTTATTATTTTAATTAACAAAAATTATGTATGCTTATTATGTACTACAAGACATTCTGAAATATATATGTATATACTCTGGGATAGCTACATTGAGCTAACTCTCTGGGCAGTTTTTAAGAATATAATACATGGCACACATTAACTGCAGTCACCATGGTGTATAACAGATCTCTTGTCTAAGTGAAATATTGCATCCTTCAACCAACATCTCCCCACCTCCTACCGACTCCCAGTCATGGCAACCTCTACTTCTTATGAGCTCAGGGCTTTTAGATCCCACAAATGAGTTCCCAGACATTTAAAGTAGAACAAGTTCAAGTTGCCACACGTCACTGTGCAAACTACAGTCTCTGGACTCAGAGACAGCTCTTCCGTACAGCCCCATGTTGTTACTGTGCCGATCCTCCACCTCTTAAAGGACTGCAATAGGAAAAAACAATAAGGCATAGGGCTCATATTCCAAATGCCATTCATTCCCTATTTGTTTTTCTAACTGTTTGTTTTTCCTCTCCCTTTCCTCAATGCACAGGGCAGTTAGTGAAAAATGCCAGAAACAACAAAACCTCCCTCATCGAACAGCTCATTCCACAGGAGATCACTCCAAACAATTCAGTCCTGACCAGGTCCTGAGGGGACCCAGCAATGCTGAGTTGGAGCTGGAACGGTGTTAAGCAATAACCACATTCAGCATGGGTTGGTAAGTCCCTGAAAACTGAATGTAAGTTATTTCGAGTTAAGTACAAGAGGACCCCAAAATGTTCGTGGAAAATGCTTCTTAGAAAGCAATTACACATGGATTTCAACATCTTTTTTACTACAAATTCAATGTATCTTATAATTCTCTTTCTTTCTACAAAAAAATAAAAAAGAGAATTTGGAAGTCCCCTTGCACAGATAACCTTCTATTCAGCAAAGTTTCCTCTGGATTCTGTAAAGGTCCTTGTCACCCTTCAAATGCCACAATAGAGATGCAGCACAAGTTCTTCATCTTCCAGAGGGAAAGCAGAGCCTCAGAGAGGTTCAGAAACTTGCTTGCAGCCACAAAACCTGTTCATGATGGAATTCACAGCCAGGCTTCAAGGTCTGACCAATAGCCGTGTGTTTTTCCCCTGCCCTGTACTGCTTTATAACTACTACCAAGGGTAGAGCTGAATCCTGTGAGAAGCATGGGGATAGCCTTTCAGCCCATAAGTGCACAAGTATGGAACACCTGCATGTAGATTTAAAAAACTCATTGTGCATTTAATTTTTTTTCAAGGCATGACCCCAGCACACAGTAAACACATAACTTGGAGAGTTGACAAAGGGCAAGCACTATCCCACTGAGAACCAAGGAAATCTGAATCAAATGTTTATCAGGGTGAACCAAAAGTCCTTTGAGGTTACCTCATGCTCCCCTACATCCTGATCATTCTGGATAGAACTCATTGAGGGGGAGGGCAGTGGAATGCAGCCAAGTCAATGAGGCAGCAATTGTGAATGGCCACAGTCATCCCTCCTCATGTCACTGTCAGAGAGTCACCCAGCACTTCTCTGGCTTTGGATGTGTTTACTTTCACTGCAGCTCCTGCCACTGAACAGGGCCACTGGATGAATGGTGTGAAAGCATAGTCATCATAAAGCACTTTGATGGCATTTATCTGAAGGCCGCCAGTTACCGCGGCCTCTCTCTGGTCCCTGTTCCATCTTCCCAGCCTTGGCTGGAATAACAAAATGCCATGTTACCCTGGCAACTTCGCACACTGTCTTTACACACTGCTAATTGCTGGGCATTTAAATCCCAGAGATTGCTGGCTTGTTACCTGCACAGCAAGTGCAATTAACCAGGCAGCATTTCTCAGTGTCTTCCCCCAATTCATCTGCATCAGAAGACCTGGGGACAATTTGCTAAATGTATAATCCTGGTCCCTTCCAAAGGAAACCTCAAGGAACCTCCAAGGCTCAGTCTTTAGCACACAGAGTAGGTGACACAAAAGAAACGCTTGTCCGAGTTGGTCAGGTTTACAGAGCAGCCCCCTTTTCATTTCAAGACAAACCACCTTTTGATGAATTGATAAAGAAATAAGAAGAATCAGATTCATGCTCCAATTGTGAGTGGCCCGTGATATAAACACCAACTATTGCTGGAAACTGGAATTCATCCTTTAATTCCTGCCAACCTCTATTGGCAGCACCAATAACCAAGCAAACCATCGGGGTCAGTAAAGAGCATACGAGGCTTGCATAGCCCACAAACTACAGCCCACTAAGGCAGAACACTCCTAGCATCCCTTTATTCACACAGCACAAGGTATTGCACAACATGATTTTTTTGGCAGTCAAGACGAATCACTTGCATGTTGCGTTTTGTGTGTTGTTTGTCTTTGTCTTCGACTTCCTTTGTTTCTTGACTTTCCTTATTCCCCTTTTCCTTTCTTCCTTCCTAGACCGGCATTAAGAGAAATAGGCATGTACTTATTTGAAAAGGATTAAAGAAAGTAATGAATTCTCCCAAATACCCAGGAGAATGGATTCAGTGCTTACATGAGTGTCTTCCTGGAATCTACAGCTGTGGGTGTGTCACAGCTGGGTGGTCCGTGGGTATAACTCCATGAAAATAATGAGAGGTATCAAGGGAAAAATAGTTCTGGAAACCCACCTTAGTGATTGTAACTGGGAGTAATTAAAGTTATTAATAGATCCTTGCTTTCCTGGTATTTGTAAAAGGATCTTGCACCTCATGCCACGTCTAGCGGGAACTAACTGGCTTCCTGGAAAGATGCCAGGTATCCTCTACCCCAACTACCTCTTCATCCTGAAGATGATCCATGAGTGTTTCAGGGACCTGCCTTCCTTTGGTCAGGTGGGATCTTCCAGCTGTAATTCCCAATCCTAAACTTCAAAAGCCCAGGTTGGATCAAGTGGCACCTGTCAGTGTAGTGAGGTAACGCTAAATCACAGTCCTTGCAAAAGTCACATGGTCGGGATGTTCATTTCAAAACAACTGCAAAAAAGCTGAGCTAGCAGCAGAACAGCCTGATTTGGGTGTGTACATTAAGCGGATCCCACGTGGGTGGAATAAAGTTATCTGAGCCAACTTCTCCCATTTCAAGCAGAGCAAAAAGCATGCCTAGTCCCTGAGGCAGAAGTGAGTTAGTTTACAATCTTCTCGATTCAAATTGAGAGATTGAAATGTGGCTTTCATGACCAGCCGTCAATCATCCCGACAGCTGTCAAGATGACGCATGAGGACAGAGCAGTGCAGAGGTGCAACTCTCTCTTCTCATTGCAAAGAATGGAAACTACGCTCAAGACTTAGATGACTTTCCCTTTAAAAAAAATGATGCAACTCTCCATGACAGCTTAACATGAGATAGCCTTCTCTAATGATGGCATAAGTCAAAAAACTTTGGAATTAGCTTAAAGAGTTTTATTACAAACTTAAAAAAAAAAAAGACTATCTGAGACATTAAAAAGATCATTGATAATGCAGAGGGGGTTTCCTTCTGGGGTGGTGAGAATGTGCTGCAATTGATGGTTGTACAATTTTCACTGTGAACACACTGAAAATCATTGTCATCCTCTTTCAGTGACCAGTGGAATAATACGTGAGTGAGAGTTCAACAAATAGGAAAATTCTAGGTTAGAAGCCTCTAAACTGATTTTAAACAAACTTCAAAGGAACAAAAGGAAGTTAAAAAGCCTTTAAGATGCTAAAACACTGCTGCTCCTGAAGAGAGCTACCTCATTTTGCTATTTCCCTACCACAAGCACCACTGATGTGAAGTGGCTACAACAAAGAGGCTCTTCTCTCCCTCGTCTCCCAAGGACTCCTCCTCCCACCCTTCCCACCCCCTCGCCTGGCCCAGAACCATCCACAAGGCTGGGATGAAACATACCTGCATATAGTGGGGCCTCCCGCAACCTCGTGTGAGTGTCCTGTCATCAGACATGCACTCTGAAAATCCAAGGATTTCTTGTTTGCTTAAATCCCCCATAGGATTTGAAGGCTCAACTAGAACAGAGAACCACTACTGTAGATTCAGTGACACCATACCTATAGTGTACATTTTTCATTTAAAAATAGTCGAGAAACACTGAATAAGTGAACGGGATCACGATTTGTGAGCATCAACTCTCTTCACAGGCTTGGAGGTGAAGAAAGCAGTGTGGGATGGGAATCCTCTACACTCCCATTCCACGAGAGTAACTCGCTGCTTCCCAAGGCCACTAAGCAGCAGTACAAACTCACAGGCAAGTGGTAGCTGTACCCACCTCGACAACTTCCCAAAACTACAAGAAGAAACTCAAGCTTCAAAGGCAGTGATTTGAAGGAATTTCCTCCAAACTGCTCCAGAATTAGAGAGGTAACCAGGTCCCCAAGCTAATCCTCCCACCATGGAACACAGGGACACACTAACATGTGTCTACAGAAAGGCTTTGGGATTTTTCTCTTCCGTTTTTCAAAAGGACATCGAACCTAAGATCCACACCTCTGAAAAAAGTGCTGAACAGGTATAAGAATACTACTTTGCTCCTTTCTCCCCTCTTCATGGTTTCAGAATTCCTGTACAGTACAGGAGGAATTTTAACCAAAAGCTGTATAAACGTTTGAGTCTCTCCATCTAGCAAAATAAACACATTCTTCCCAGACCAACCTTCATGGTAAGTACATTGCTAACAATGCACCTTGCGCCATCCCAATTGCCTGTCCCAGCGAGCAGGCAGAAGCCACTGCAAGTCTCAGCCTCTCCTTTGTGGCTGTGCCTGGAGTTTTGTCACTGCTTCTAGAGTAACAAGTATAAAATGGGAAACAG